TGGGTCCTCTTACACTTTCCTAAAAATCTCGTTAACACATATAGGCCGTCCTCAAACCCTGTACAGAGCCGTACAGACCAATATTATCCTACTAAACAACATTTTCCTGCTAAATTGTTGTTGAGATTTAAATTTTATTTTTATAGTGAGTATAATTTATGAAATGCATACTCCTATATAGCATGCTTATTTCTTCCCATACTTGCCTTACTATATTAAACCTTCATCATGCACTAATATGCTATGACTTAATCCATTTCTCGCAATCCCTTCAATTCCCTATTCACCCCTTCACAATCACAATGAATATCACAATATATCCCACTTCCCGCCACCCTTCAGTCAGTCCTCTTCCTTCATTCCCCTTTTACAAAAATGATTAACCTAGAGGAATAAGAACCTTTTAACTTTGATTCTCTCTCGCATCATACCATTCTCTGGGTAGAGCGGGTAGTGGGGTCTTTTGTAGAAATAAGGGTGTTACTCCCTCTGGGGTGTCCAGACCCATTATCTAGAAAAATCTACCTCGATCCCCCGTTGGTAGTAAAGCTCTGGTTTGTTCATTATGGAAAGTGAGAAGTTTAAAGGGATGGCCCCAGGCGAAGGGAATGTGGTTGAGTCTCAGATGATCTGTAATCAGCTTCCATTGCCTTCTCTTTAAGAGAGTGGATGGAGAAAGATCTTGGAATATCTGAAGCGCCTTTTCTCTGTAAGTAACCTCCATCCCCCTACATTTGCGCACTACAGCGTCTTTAGTGCTATGATAATGGAATCTCACCATTATGACTCTGGGATGTTTGTCGTTCCTTCGTAGACCACCTGATAAGCGGTGTGCCCTATCAATTTCCCATCTGGGTTCAGGAATGTCTGGTAATAAGGGTCTAAAAATTTCTAGAACCAAGTTCTGCACCGGACCCTCATCTCTTGTTTCCGGTATCCCTCTAATTTTAATATTATTGCGTCAAGATCGATTAATAAGATCCTCAAATGCCGCTTCTAAGGCATCAAGCCTTGTGCCCCATTCCGAGCTCTGTAGTAATAAGTCATTATGCGCTTTAGCCACCGCCTCTACCCTCACCACTAGAGTGGCGGTCCGATTACCAATTGCCTGAATCTCTAATCTTATTTCCCTCTCATTTCTCTCAATCTCTCCGGCTAAAAATATTCTATCCTTTTTCATTTGTGCTAATATGCATTGTATGCCATCTGGCCCCGGTATCTGCACAATAGGTATAGCAATGCTAGCTGTGTCAGCAGGTAAACTTTTACCTGATCCTCCCTCTCCTGAGTCTGGATGAATCTCGTGGCTGTCCCCATTTATCCTGCTTTCCAGGCTGTTCGTTTTGTCGAGGCCGCTATTCACAGCGCCAGAAGCCGCTCGCTTTGTGGATTTTGCAGCATCTTCATTTGCGTCCGCAGGTCTCGCTGGCTGGAACATGGTATGAAGAGAGTGGAGAGTGCTGCTCCTGGGCTTCGGCTTGGACCCCTTCCGCAGTGGTAAGTCCAAAAGGGGTATAATTTCCTTTTTCTTTTCTTTTCCCTTTTTGAAGAGAGCTCAGGGGATGCTGCCCAAAAAAAACCCCAAAAAAACTTCCTCGGCTGAAAGTATCAATTACAGCGCTACACGGTTACACTGTTACGGTAATGCAGCAATATGTAACGGTAAGTAGCAGTATGTAGCGGCATTACACTGCAGAGAATAGGGAGGAGTAGGGAGAGATTAGGGAGAGATTAAATGATTGGGGTGGAAAGAGCAGAGGCTGACCGGCTGTCCGGCTCGCTGACCGGCTGACCGGCTGACCGGCTGGATGTGTAACTGTGCAGCTGCACCTCGACGAACAATTAGCTAAGGACTTCACCGGACTTCACCGGCACATACAGGTTAGTTGAAAAGAGTTTGAGGAAAGATATAGTATAATAATATATAAAATTATATTCTATTTCATCTTCGGTGTCTGTTTATTCGGAGGCTTCAGTGAGAGAGCTCTCTGCCTGGACGTCTGTCTACATCGATGGTCAGGCCACACACCCCTTGGCTAATTAATTTATGCCTCTTGTGATATTATCTGTTTTACTGTAACTTTGGAGAGGACTGAAGTCTTTGTCACTGAAAAAAATGTTGTGAAAAAATTCTTAACAATGTCCTTTTTGTTACATTTGCATTTGCTATTTTGTTAAATAGATCTTTATGACCAGTATGTGGAAATTATCACAATACCCTGACTAGTAAATATACTACATGCTGTAATCAAAGGGAAATATAAGATACACTAATTGCATCATTGACATTAAAACATGTTATTTTCGTCCTTGGGACATACTTCTCTGTTGTCTATGTGGACTACAGAATATTTACAGGCTTAGGCTCATTTTCAACACACCCTCTGATTGAGGACTTGTCTAACCTAGCGTCTATGATGAGTCATGTTTTAGAAAGTATATGTACCTCTCTTATACTGGGTTCCAAATAAACAACTATTACATCCAAATTCTAAAGTAGAACTAAGTGGGCATTTAATGTCAGTAAGTCAGATGTCACATTTGTCGCATACACAGTCTCTATGCAGAGTTATTCAATACAGTCTAAATTGTCAGGAATTATTGACGAAATAGTCAAAAGGTGAAGAATTCTCCAAGTCAGCTATATTTTTGTCCCAGGGTCATACCCCAACTTACAGAAAAAAGGCATTGACCACAAACAAAGGCTCTAAATAGATGTATTACCAGGTCTTAGAGTGTAAAGATATAGACAAAGTCAGTAATAGCCCAGGTCAAGATATTAGAAATACGGATAAACAAATAAACAAGCTGGGTCAGGATACCAAAAATACACAAAGTCAAATACAAGCCAAGGTTAATATCAAAACATCAACAGCTACTTACTATGAGCACTAAACATGTATCAAGGCAGAAACCATGATACGGCAATGAATAAGGGACCAAAAAAGCTTTATATAGGATTACACATATTTCTGATTGGTTCATGTCATCTCTGCGACTCAAAAAGTATGATAATGGGGTTGCCTACATGATGTGGTCACTTTAAGGGCGGGTGTGACATCATGTAATATAAACTACATAAACTACAGTGTCCAACAGTGTGCAGGGAAGAAGCAGTTTTCTATTGAATTGGGCCCGCATGAACTTGGAGGAGCAGTTTGCCGGCGACGAATCGGTAAGTATAATCAGCATTTTCTATGTCCCTTTTGAGGTTGTGTGGCGAGGAGCAGCGAGGCCACATGGAACATTCGGCCTGCCGATGGAAGCAGTGTAGGTGCGTAGAGTTCGCTACAGTTTTCAGTTTGATTAGTTTGACCTAAAACTTATTATTTCTACTCAAATACTGATTATAGTTCTACTTTAACTGTATAATTTTTATACTAGAACATATATTTTTATAATAATATTGATGTATTTGAGGGTGTTCAGTTTCTTTCCATTCCCTTCCATGCAACTTAGATTATTCTACACATAGATCTTTCATTTTTTATTTTTCAATATATTTATTCGATCTCAAACTTTAATTCAACGATATATCATTGGAGTGGAAGCAAACAGAGCGGTGCGCATGGGAACAGTTCCCAACTGACCAAAACATATTGGTGAGCTAGTAAGTTAAAGTAAGAATTAAACCAGACCAGTGCAGCAAGCGAAATGTTAGTTTCTATATAATCACATATAAAAATAATAACAACAACAATAATAACAAAGTATTTAACCAGGAAATGTACATTCAGATTACTCTGGTTTTCAAATACGTCCTGGGGATGTTACCTTAGCCCAACATCCATGGGTTGTTACATATACAAAGTGAATGAAAACAGGAAAGGACACAATGGAAATGTTACTGTGCAAACTGAGCCCAGACAACAGATATATTTGAAACTCTCTAGTACAGACTATACAGAAGCTATGTGTTAGAAATATTTCCCAAAATGTACCACTATCTAAAATTTAGCAAACGTCCTTGAAAATTATCCTCTAGTGCCCATCTGAATCAGGCCGAATAACACTAGAAGACCTTTAAATAGCTCCAGAGCTGCTCAAGAATAATTTCCTGAATGATATCTGAGTTATTTTTCAGAATTTGTACTCTCCTATAATTAAACATAATTGTGCCCCATCTCACCATCCACAGGAGGGGAGAGGTAGTGAGTGAGAATCATTGGTTGGGAAGCCTGCAGACATATACTGCAGATTCTTGTAGTTTTACCAGCTAAGAGCAGATAAACAGAAATCTCTAATACATGACTTCAACAGTCAGTCTGGAGGCTATCTTGTAAGTAAAAATGTAGTTTGATAAATATCTTGAATCCACATGATGGATAGCATTACAATTGATTCTCTGCTACTTGTTTTCAGACAATGGTTGAACCAGTGAGCATATTTGATTCTATCAGGGGCGGGCTGGGACAGGAGGCAATTGCCCCACAAGCCATCCTAAATCATGTAAAAAATGGCCACTGTCTCCAGGGCTGCCATCAGGGCATGACAACCATAACGGCGATCCTGGAGGGCCTGGACTGCTCAGGGAGTCCTGGACCCCACGTGCACATATATATAGTGATTATCACTATATATGTGCATCTTTGGGCCCCCAGGCTACCTGTACACCGCAGAGGCGTCTAGCACAGTCCATCCTCACTTCCCAGCTGCTCTGCTCTAAGTCTCGTGAGCCGTGCGGAGCGTTGCCATGGCAGCCACCTACGGCCTCGCGTTAAAAGGGGCCTCGCGGCCTGCCTAAACCATTTAATCAGAGAGCTGCAGTGCTTCACCAATATTAATTTACTGACGGCAGTCTTTCCCAGTACAAAAATATAATTTAAGCATTCCATGCCGCGGCGCTACTAATACAAGATGAAACCCCTCACAGGGGTTCCATCCATGCTGCAGTCCCCTCCTCCTGCATGCTAAATCTTCTGGCAATAGGCCAATTCGTGTCTTGTTGCTACGCGGAGAGTGCTGATTTCCAGCCAATTGCGGAGTGCGCTGTGACGCCGATGACGTCACGCCGCAACGCAACCCTTCTCTGCATTCCCCCACCTGCAGAGCCCAGAAGAAGGAGAAAAGAAGAAAAAGAAAGGAGACTAGCTGAAGGAATGGAAAGGAGAGCAGAAGGAGAGGAGAGGCGAGGAGAAGAAAAGGAGCGCAGAGCAAAAGGAGAGGAGAAGGAAAGGAGAGCAGAGCAAAAGGAGAACAAAAGGAGAGGAGAGGAGAGGAGAGCAGAGCAGAAGAGAGAAAAAAGGAAAGGAAGGGAAAGCAGAAGGAAAGGAGGGGACAGCAGGGAAGAACGAGAGCAAAAGGAAAGGAGGGGAGAACAGAAGGAGTCAAGGAGGAGAAGACAATGTCAGAAGGAGGCAAACAAAAGGGGATTGGAGCAGGAAGGACAACTTGGAAGACAAGTGATCCCTCCACTTTATCCTATCAATGTATTTACGTTATTGATTATGTGAGATGTAGACATATTGGTTATTTTTAAAGGAACACTGTTTACCATAACAATTTAATCTAAATGAAGTTCTTATGGTGCAAGTCGGCCCTCAGGCACTCTATTAACTTAATGGGTTAAAACCTATCCTAGATCTTCAGGTCCCCCAGCAGCAACCAGCTTCTGAAACTGAGTTTCAGAAAGGTCAGAGTGCTGCTGCATAATGGTGCCGCAGATTGGGTATGGCAAAGAGCTACTGATTGGCATAACATCAATATCCGTTATAAAACCAGGAAAAGGTGGGCATGGATGGTGAGCTGATTCAGTGGTGCAAAGGGCCACTTGAATGGATTTGCCCCCCAGGCCTAAGGCTGCCAGCCCTGCCTGGATTATATCCCCCAAATGTACCTCTGAGTTGTGAATAATAAGTAACCTTCAATATACCGATACATGACATTGCATATGTACAGTATTTTGAATGGGAAATAACAAATCCATCCATATTTTCTTGTTTTAATTCCTTTTGTGAATTATATTACATTTTTCCCTTGTGGTTTTTCATCAAGTTTCCTTTCACTGCAGATGTAGTTTCTACATTTCCACGAACCGAGTGCCTCCAGCGTTAGTTAGCCTTTTCTCTTTTTCTAGAGAACAGTTATTTCCATTTAATTCTGACAACCTTTAGGAGTTTCAAGCTTTTCTCTCCTCTCTCTGCTCTCCTCTTGCTTCAGGGTCATAATGTTTACGCTATACTAAGCCATGTGGTGATTTTATACGCTCGTTGCCTGACCGCTGCATTGATTGAACTCTTGTGGGAGCTTGGCGTGACGCTTTACCATAGAACCGCGAAGTGGAATCAAACCATTTCACTGGTCATTCTCTCTGGATTTAAGTCAGATACTTTGTTTTGGACTATTACTTCTCCCTATATATGTAGTATGCTTGTAATTTGTCTGTTGTAACTTATTTACACTGTTAGTTATGCTTGTTGATGTATATTAGTTGGATTTAAATGAATGCAGTGCTTTGAAATTTACTGGTAAAAATAAACATAAAAATAGGGAAATATGACAATCAATAAAACCAAAGATTTACAGAAAGCACAGGCAAACAGCAACAAGTTGTACTTTCTTCAATTTCAGTAGTAGGCAACTTTCAACACTCCAGATAATTTGGACTACAACTCTCATAATGCTGTTAGAGCCATAATGTAGGTAAAGCACCAGGAGAGATATAGTCTACAACATCTGGAGTGCCAAAGATTGCCTAACCCTTTTATCAATTTCTAGATGCCACGGTGACATTTCGTGACAAAGAGGACATCCAGCAATAGTTTACGACGGCTCTTCGATGAAGATAAGCTTCATGTAAAGAAATCCAGTAATTTTGAGGGATTTAAAAAATTACAAAAAAAACTTTTGCAAGATATTTCAATTGCCATGTCTCACAAAAGGAAGTGGAGTGACCCCATAGCAATGTAATATATGGCTGAATATCCCTCATAAACCCCAGCAGAGGGCATACCTCCCAAGTGTCACATTTTAGGATTGACTGTTACTATTTTTTGCCAAAATGTTTCAGAAACACTGACTCTTTCAATCCTTTTCTGTTGCTTTTTTTCTGTATTTGATATATTTAGTTATGAAGAGATGGGCACCCCGACGATAAAAGCCCAGAGTGAGCTGGATACATATGATTAGGAAAGGTAACTCATCTGACATGGCATAGCACACGGTCTGTTAATAAACAAGGAATAGAAACAGCTTTGACCGACACGACAGTGCTCATTTTTCTTAAAGGGACACTATAGTCACCTGAACAACTTTAGCTTAATGAAGCAGTTTGGGTGTATAGAACTTGCCCCTGCAGCCTCACTGCTCAATCCTCTGCCATTTAGGAGTTAAATCCCTTTGTTTATGAACCCTAGTCACTCCTCCCTGCATGTGACTTGCACAGCCTTCCATAAACACTTCCTGTAAAGAGAGACCTATTTAGGCTTTCTTTATTGCAAGTTCTGTTTAATTAAAATTTTCTTATCCCCTGCTATGTTAATAGCTTGCTAGACCCTGCAAGAGCAGCCTGTATGTGATTAAAGTTCAATTTAGAGATTGATATACAATTATTTAAGGTAAATTACATCTGTTTGAAAGTGAAACCAGTTTTTTTTTTTCATGCAGGCTCTGTCAATCATAGCCAGGGGAGGTGTGGCTAGGGCTGCATAAACAGAAACAAAGTGATTTAACTCCTAAATGACAGTGAATTGAGCAGTGAAATTGCAGGGGAATGATCTATACACTAAAACTGCTTTATTTAGCTAAAGTAATTTAGGTGACTATAGTGTTCCTTTAAGTGCTTCTAAATTGGGCTCTGGAGACCGTATTGTTAAAAAATAGATTTTCTGAAGTGCAAAGAACAAATTATGTTAATATTATGGCATACTTATTACCTCAAGGTAAAGCAAAACAAAGGGTTATTTGTTTAGCACAAGGGACATGCTGAGCTGCTTCTAAAATACAGTAGGCAGCTGCCAGTGAGACACCCTCTGACACTCTCCTTGTACCACTAAGTCCTATGAGCGCTAATTTATAAGTACATGTCCTGTGTTTTAATATTACATACCATTCAAGTGTGCAAGACAATATAATACAGACAAAGACCACAACAGATATGTAAATGGGTGGAATCATGATGTCAGCATGATGTCAGTGTGATGTCAGCATCATGGTGTGTTTCTCACCTTATAGTTTTGCAACAGGTCTGTGTTGAAACTGTTCTACACGGATATTAATACAATTTTACACACTGTTTCACAAAATCAAAAGTAAATGGAAAGTAAATGGAAGACGTCCATGTGTTTCCCAACTAGTTTGCAACAAGCTGAAGAATTGTGTGACATCATGCGATTTGGAATCCTTGGAATTTAAAATCTCCATGATTATTCTGTGATCAATTACAATGAAACCTAAATCATGCCTTTCATGTAATCTAGCATGAACAGTGATTTAACACAGAAAATCACACATGCAATCAAACCTAATAAATGTATGTATAAATATATACAAAAACAACAGTGCAGAGAGTCATTGCAAGACTTCATGGAAGACACTGAAACGTAAATTTAAGGTTTTTTTAAATTGTATTATTTGAGAATACCCACTTATGCTAAAATGGCTCCATCATTAAACTTAGTTGGGCATGCATTGTGAGGGATTTGGGCTATCAACAGCCAATATCTAGTGCTTTTTAGTTTACCTCACATTCAAACTCAGGTATTTGATAGATTTGTGTGGCAGTGAATGCTGAAGTGGCAAACTGTAGCTAGTTATGGACAAAGTTATTTTGTAATGGGGATTGTGAAAGGGGTATGTATAAAGTTGTGTTTTTCAGGAGTTTAAATATGTGCCATGTGTTAGTGTAACACAAAGGTCCCCAGCAATTAAACTCCCACTAAAGTTTTCCCCTGGACAAATGGGGAAGGGGGAGCATGACTGCTGCCCATGGATTGTGGGCTGGTATTAAAGTTGCAAGAATGTTGCAGAAAATAGAGGAGTTTTATATGGAACAAGGGGGAGGGGACAGTCAGCAGGATTAGTTGAAGGACCCTGGCTGAATTTCCCTCCCTCCCTCCCTCCCTGGTTTTGGTGTGGTCTTTCTTTGTTTTTTCTCTATTGTAACAGCTGGCGGGTTCCCTGGACAGCACAGTCGAAGGAAGGAGTATGACACAGCGTCACCTTGGGGAAACTACAGTCGCACATGGCTGATGGCTAGTAACGGCTGTGTTGGGCTCTTGGAGAGTATGAAAGAGAACTGTCTGTTAAGCTCTCACCCAAAAGCTGACAGGGTTTTAAGAATATTGTATTATGGTTTAATAAAGCTGTGGCTGTTGCCCTTATTCACTTAAAAAGGTGTCCAGCGTGTTATTGGGGGAAACGGCGGGTTGGATATCGGTCAGCAGTCATGAGTCTTTAGAAATGCAATGTGCCTACGAGAGTGTCAATACATTTTAAAGAGAAGTTGTTTAGATGTGTAGAACATAAAACATAATGAAACATAAAAGTAACTGTCAATATGTTGCATTTAACAAAGCTTTTAATCTATTCAGTAGTTTTTAAGGACTTTTTAAACCTAACTTAGAAATACCTTGTTTGGCACTCCAAACACCATAAATATATATTTTTAAAATTTTATTTATACATACTTTTCTTACAAAAATGTATCTCACATACATACAGTCACATTTATCATCAGGACAAAAAAAAACAACAGTGTTACACTTGAATCCTTAAAAAATCCATAAACAAAAAGCTTCTCAATTAACATAGATGTACACACAAACCATAAAAAACATGGATCCCTTGGCGAAAGAACCCTCTCCCAGCAAGGGAGTATCATATGTCATACAGTAGATTTGTTACTCATGCTTTTACAAAACGTCTATGATATTTATAGGATTATCCCATTGGCCAATATCTCTATAAATGCCATTGATTTGATCTATTCCTCTCTCCATTTGTAATTGGAACTTAATCTGAGATCTAAGGTGAGAAATAATAAAAGATTGGTCCTCCTTCCAGTTCCTAGCAATCATTATCTTGACTGCTACCAGACAGTGGTTAGCCGCTATAAGCTGCATGCTGTAATAGTTAAAGTTCTTGGAGTGGTTTTTAAAACAAGTCGCAAAGATAGAAAAACATACAAAATAATTCATTGAAAATAAGTCCTAACACCGAGTCTACAGAGAAACACAGTTAACATATGCTCATTTTCAAATAACAAATAACAAATAACTTGTTTTATTTTATTTATTTATTAAAGAAAAGAGCAACTGTAATGTAAAACCACCCTCTGATGTATTTTCAAGAGTGATATGAGGGGGCTGGTAATAAAGTTGCAAGAAATAATAAAGTTATATATGGATCTGACAAAACTAGAGAGCGAAGATAAAAATCAATCTAAGATCCAGCCACTCTAGTAGGATTCAGAATTTGTAACGACAAAAAAGAATACCTTACAAAGAAACTGATG